GTTCTCCCCCACTCAGGGTTCGAACCATCACCAATTGGTTCGCCAACAATCTAACCCACAGACTGTTTTTCCCAATAACATCGCACCTACTCTTGGAAGGTGATACACAATGCTCGATGATGTCCCCGATGGAGGTCAAGCAATTCCAAATACCCCGAATCTCCGATGAAATCCTCAGAAACTTCTCATCATGACTACCTCTAGTCATTCAAAATCTCGTAGCATCCCACTACCGGACATCTCAACTGTCCAGTCGTAACCCTGACTCTCAGTCTGAAAATAACGAACTAACATATTCCTCATCCTCGACTCTTCAACCAACGTTTCATTACGTGGGTTGTAATAAGAGTGGAATCATCGTTACCACACTCGATACTCATCATAGACAATAAGAGCCACCGCCCTAATATCCTCTTCTTGATCGTCTGCCGCTGCAGCTAATACATGCCCTACTATGCTCAAATAGGGTGTATCCTTGTCCTTAACCATCTCAGTCCCCGCTGACAACCTGCTCATGCTCTAACATTTCCTCTCGGCAGACATACTGCCCAAATACTCTGAAGAAAGATCGTAACCAAAGCTACCCCACAGGGCTCACCCCCAACCTTGGAAACCGAAAATCTCAATACCTCTCCTGTTTCCCATAGGAACAGAAATAACACCGCTTAGGTCACATAAAATGACATCTCCACCATCGGCTGATTGCTCAACTCATGCCGTAACCCTCCATAACCGCCATCTCTACTCTTCCCTGAGTCTTGCGACTCCAAATGGCATCTCACCAACAATCCCTCGGAGCTAACTTGATTTCCCTTTTAAGGGATGCTCCACTAAAACTCGTTCATCATGGCCCTCTGGCCCCATACTCTTTCACATCTGATCTCGGTCTAACCAATCACCACGGAATAACTGGTAGAACCAATAACACTAACCACCACGGGTCATGGTACTCGAACCATGTGGCCACCTCTCGATCTGCTATGAATCATGGTACCCGAACCATGTTATCTCTTCTCAATCCACTACGAATCATGGTACTCGACCCATGAAATCACCTCTCGATCTGCTACTTAAAACCTCCGGAATGTTCCCTGTATCGAGTATGGGTCCTCTGCTTTTAGTAGTACGGGCCCATACTACCTGCCACATCTACCCATACTTTCCACACAGACCATCCCCGAGTTCCTAAGTAGCTGCTCGACCTTCTCAATCACCAACCCCGTCATGCGTGTTCGCTCCTCTGCGAAATATCCTACTCTGTCAGCGTACTCATCTGAATAGGGTCACCCTTTCCTAGGCTCTTCCTAGGTTCTCACACTTCTCCGCCATCAGCTGCTGAAGAACTCCTTATGATGCCAGCCATCTACCTCCTGAATATCGTCATATTCACTTAGTAGCTGACTCTCATCATCAAGAGTTCCAAAAAGCACGAAGCAAGCAGCATTCAGGCATCAAATAATCTCTACCAACATGTAAAACCACTCTAGGATATTACCCACTTGCTCTCCTCATACTCAAAGGATACCACCGAACTCAAGCAACTTTACCCCACGCGGGCATCTGACTACTCTCTCAGTAGACTCCTCAAATGCTCATCTAGGTATCTCTCCTAGATTACTTCTCTACCCAAATCCCTCTCTAGAGGATTCCTGCTGGATACTCTTACTCAGCACATACTCGAAAGCACATCACAGATAACAGTAACTCCTAGGCTAAGGCATCACAAATCAGGCCGCTCTAGTCCTAACATATGAAATACCTAGCCTATCTCTAGCATGCATAATATCTCATAGCATATCTCATAAATATCTCATAATACAAACGTAAGGGTATTTTGGGAAATCACCGTTCGGGCTCTGGCTGATTGTACACACTGCTCCAACTCGTATTCTTTTAGAAACTCTTGCTCGTTTTAGGAAAATCATTTCCTTGAAATTTTTTCTCAAATCCTCAGTTTGAGTCCAGATGTACCCGAAGGTGCATCCGAATCCCTCAAACCAAGGCTCTGATACCAACTTGTAACACCGTGATTTTTCAAACAAATTTTTAACTTTAAAATCGCATACTTTTCATAACATATTGTATAGAAATCTCGTTTATTCAAATTACAAAAACACAACTCCATTAATAATCCAGGATCCTCAAAACATAACTCGTTCTCTGGTGTGTACAATTTAAGTCGGTGCCTTCCCGCGATCCTCTGAGATACCTGAAACACATAACACATACACGGTAAGCACGAAGCTTAGTGAGTTCCCCAAAATACCACACACAACAACTAGCCACTCGAGGCTGAAACTCTGCGAGACCTTCCGGTCAATGTGTCTCAGTGGGACCTTCCGGTCCCATAGCTCGTTGGACCCTCTGGTCCGGTCATAGCTCGTTGGACCCTCCGGTCCGGTTTGGTTGAGCCTTCCGGCCTCATAAATCGTCAGACCTTTCGGTCCAGCCTGTAACACTCCGCATAGCATAAATCACAAAGAAATAATGCACAACATAAGGCATAATAACACAATACTCAATGTAAGCACATAAGACCTTCCGGTCACACATAACTACCACTCAAGGTAAAGTATAGTGAGAAGACTCACCTCGGCTAGCAGGTGAACAAATAACCTCGCGCTCGGATCTCGAATTAGCCTCCTCCTAACACAAGGAGGAATATCTCTAATTAATACTCTTTTCACGACTCAGATAACTGGAGGCGATTCCTTCTCTTTCTAACTCTTTGAAGTGGGTAAAAGACCATTTTACCCCTCCAAGGTCTCTATCACTTATGTTGACCAAAACCCCAAAGTCAACAGAAGTCAAACTCGAGTCTACAGACCAGATTCGACCAGACTCGGCGAGTGCACCCTTGTGACTCGTCGAGTCCACTCACTTTCTCCGAAACCCCACGAAGATCCAGCTTAACTCGTCGAGTCGACCACACGACTCACTGAGTTAGCTTGCGACTCAGCCTGGTCAGGAAACCCTAACCGACTCGTCGAGTCGGCTCATTGACTCGGCGAGTCTATCCCGACTCATACCCATTCAGACGATTTCAACCAGATCTATCACTCTAAACTATAGATCTATCATCCCAAGGCTCAATAATTACGTAAAGCTTCGATCTTTACGTTCATACATGATGCTATTGCTTCAAAACACCAATACATGCTCTTCATGAAGGTTTTTTGTTCATCAACCCTCATTTGGACCACTAAAGTTGAGGCTCCTAGCCTCCAAGGACCTCACAAGGTTCAGATCTGAGGTTTCCCACCTCAGATCATGTCTCACTTAGCTCATAAGCACAAAAGAAGGGGAGTTAAACCCTAAAAACTCCCAAGATCATGAGGTCCAACCAAAATAGAAGAAATGATGCAAGATTATACCTCATACAGCAGTCCCATGTGAATAAATGCTAGATCCACAGCCCTCATCTCGTTCCTTGCTTGAATCATGCTCTTTTCCTTCCATAAAACCCACCAAAATACTTGATTTCATCATAAGAACTCTCCCATGGCTCCAATGGCGATTTAGGGTTTCTCACAGGAGATATGAGGCACATCCAAGGTCATAAGTTCCTTTAAATAGGTTCCAACCCCGGAACTTAGGGTTTTCTCCGCCCAGTACCTACTCGGCGAGTCCATTCTTGTACTCATCGAGTCCGCTCATTAAATCCTCGTGATCACTCGACGTGACTCGACGAGTTAGACCTTCGACTCGTCGAGCCCCTCCAAAATCTTCAAAATTGAAACACGAACTATCATACCCGAAATTCCGGATGTTACATTCAGACTGTCATGTGGCCGCCAACAAATCAATTCAGACAAGTTCCAGTGCCGCAGACCTTCAGTGATGGATCTCTCGCAAACATGCATTACTGGGTCTATGATGAAACTACTGCGTCTGCTGTCATCAAGTTCGAAGATGGCTGTTTTCGCTTGTACGATAAACAAGACCTACTTCAATTTGGGAAGTGGGATATTCATCATCTGGCCCTACATCAGATCAAGGTTGCTGAAGATTTTTTCGAGCCTGCTGCGAAAGAGTACACCGCAATGGTTGCCGAGATTATTGCTAAGGGGATGTGGCAAGGGGCAATGGGAGGGTCCGATGTTCTTGTTATTGAGAGAGACTGAGTTACAGCTAGCCCCAAACCAAGGGGGAGATTGAAGGGTCCATGTTATGGTTTGGGCTAGGCTTTGGATGTATAGGTCATTTAGTATTGTAATATAAGTGTTTTGGTATGTTTATGGCTGAAAGTATGTTTACGACCGTAAACAGGTTTACGACCGTAAACCTGTTTACGGCCTTGTCTAGTTTACGGTCATGTCTTCTTTCCTATATATAGGACCAGTCTGTGTCTGTTAGTGGTTGTTGATTCATAGTGTTTACGGCCAGTCAGAGTTGTACCAGACGTTTTCTTAATACAAACGTGTGCAAGCTTTGATTCATTCTTTTTCTACTCAATTTTCATCTTGTTTGATTGTTAGATTGCTTAATCACTAGTTAAGATCCTGTTTCCAGGACCTAACAAGAACATGGAAATCAAATAAACAGTTTATAAGAAAAAGGAAAAGCCAAATTGCCTCAGCTGTTGAGGAGGCACTTGGGCATACTTACTTTAGAGGCTATAGTCCACAGACACGGGATTCTATGTCGTGTTGGAATCCTGATTGCATGAATGCATCGGATTCAATTTCATTGAGTTTCTACTATTGAGTATATGTGGGAGTGAAAAGCAAGGGGTATTTTTGGTATTTTTGATTGGGTGGGATGACATAAGTTCTTTGAAGGAAAATTTACAAGCAAATCATCCTTTGAGGGATTCAAATCTAGTTTTATCGCTTTTATTTCATGGCTCTAGGGCCAAATTAGTATAGGTAGAGACTAATATCATTATTTGAAAAAAAAACTAAACTTTTTTAATATTTATTTATTTTATCTTCTTCATGTAGAGACAAATATTTGAAAAGACAGAAAATGGGGTGAGAAAGATAGTTTTTGTTACAAATATGACTAAAACAAGTATCACAATAGACGATGTTGTTTTTGTTATTGATTATGGAAAAGCCAAAGAAACATCATATGATGCTTTGAATAATACCCATTGTCTCCTTCCTACTTGGATATCAAAAGATTCTGCTAAACAAGTGAGTTTCTTGGGTAGGGTATTTTGGTAATTTTATATTTTCTATATCATTCGATTATATTGTTTTTGATATGATTAACAGAGGCGAGGTCGAGCAGGGTGTGTTCAGCCAGGAGAATGTTACCATTTATACCCTCGAGATGTTCAGTCACTTTGTCTTCAAATAAAAACTTTAAAACTTGGAAGTTTTTCTGAATTCTTATCTAAAGCTCTTCAATCACCAGAGTTATTAGCAGTAATTCGCTACCTCATTTTTCAATGGGTTTATCTATATATGAAAGGGAAAAAAAATATCATACTTATTATTTCCCATTCGTAGGCTCAAAATGCAATTGAGTATCTCAAGATTATTGGTGCTTTAGATGAGAACGAAGATCTAACTGTACTTAATTGGTATATATATATATATATATATATATATATATATATATATATATATATATATATTGCCTTGATCCAATACTCACAGTTGTTGTTGGACTTAGTGTTAGAGATCGGTTTTTAGCTCCTTTAGATAAAAAAGATGTAATTCACTTTTTATAATAATAATTTATACTTTATGAAAATAACGGGTCTTTTTGTACAGCTGGCAGAGGCGGCGAAAGCGCAATTTTCGCGAGATCATAGTGACCATTTTGCCCTTGTGAGGGTGTATGATGTTTGGAAAGTGGCTGAACAAGCACTTGGTGGATATGAATATTGTTGGAAGATTTTTCTGTCTGCTCAGTCCATGAAATCTATTGATTCTTTGAGAAGAGAGTTTTTATCTTTGCTTAAAGATACTAGTGTTGTCAAGGGCAATATGGTCATTTTCAATGCTTGGAATTATGACGAAAATCTCATTCGTGTAGCTATCTGCTACGGCTTGTATCCCGGAACTTCCTCGATCGTCGTAAGTTTTATTTTTAAATAATTTCTTTATAAATAATAACTCGCTTTTGTTGACATCAGCATAATGAAAAGTCATTATCTCTGAAAACCGTGGAGGATGGCCAGGTGCTTTTACACTCTGTAAGTTCGTTTGTCTAAATTCTAATAGTTTTTTTAATCTGAATTTGTTTTTTTTTTTTTAATGCTATAGGACTCAGTTAATTCCTGGGATTTGAGAATTCCATTCCCGTGGTTGGTCTTTAATGAGAAGATCAAAGTGAACTCTATTTTTCTCCGGCTGTTGTTTCCGATTACGTCCTGCTACTGTTTGGTGGAAGCATCTCAAAAGGCGATATAGTGAGTCTATTACCTTTCCTCATTCCATTACCTTTTCTTACTCCGTTCCTTTATGATTCCATTCCATTCCATGATATGAAACAGGATGGGCACTTGAAAATGTTGGGAAGATACTTTGGAGTTCTTCATGGAACCTTCATTGGCTGAAATGTATCTCAACTTAAGAAAAGATCTCGATGAGCTATTCCAGTATAAAGTAAGTAATGTATCCTCTCTTATTCATTATTTTTCACTTTTAGTCCTCCAATAATTGACTTTTTTCAACAAACTTTCATGTCAACTATTGAATCCCAAATTGGATTTACACACCCACCACGGTGTTTGATTCTTGCGTGTTCTGGATATTGATATTAGTTGTGTGCTTAATATAATAGATTGTCAAGAGTTATACAGCTGATATCATCTTAGCTTTGCTGATTGTAACTTCCTTTGGTTTTCACATATTATCTTTTAATCAAGTTCCTCCTTGAGTTTTGTTAATTTTAGGTAAGATGGCAAACCAACAATATTCGTATTATTCGGTTTTACGGTATTTCTTCATGATCTGTGACTCTGTGTTGTTGGTTTTATTCTGTTTGCTATGTATTGTTCCTAATCCTAATACTGAGATGAGTTGAACTCAGATGCCCTTTAGTCATCAAGAATTATCAGCTAGCATTTAGTGTTTGGGTTTTTTAATCATTAAAATTGCTCATAAAGTGGTAAATGTCGAAAAAATAAGGTTGGAGTTCATGAAATACTAAGCCTTGCAATGTTGTTTTGGATATGTTATGTGGGTATATTACTTATAATCTTTTCTAAAATTTTGTGAATAACACTCTCATTTTTATTTTCATTTTTGATCGACTACCTTCATAGGACTGGAAGAACCGCTCGCATGGGTGCCAAAGGCAAATTTCGTCATTTTTTCATGGGAAAGTTGCAGGTTCAAATTACCTACCTATCCTTCTTGTATGATTTCAATCCTTAAATTCTATTTATTAAAAAGAAATGCATGAATCTGACTTCTCATATGAAGAGACGGTAGAAGCAGGCAAAAACTACAACACCGTAAATAAAAAGTCAACAATCTCTTAGAGATGTGAAAGACACATAACGAACTAGAGGCAGACATATCTTCTAAACTTGGAGAGTTAGAGAGAAACTATAATGAAACATGTTGGTCATTGAAATGGAAAGATCAAGGACAAAAGGGATTATATGCAGGGTCGGCTGGGTCTCTTGTTTCAACTGTTGCATTTGTCTTAGGTAAATGGGTCTAAATACATGTCTTAATTAGAGATGGTATATTCTTAGGGGAATTGATAAGATATGATGAAATAGTTAATGTATTACATTTATTTAAGCATTGGAATGATTATTATCATTTGAGATACTATATAATTTGAAATGGATTGTCTTTTTTTTTTTATGATATGCTATTTCATATTATGAGAAATTAATTGTCATTTAATTTGAAAATTAGTAAATTTATATAAAGAAGCTATTTTTTTAAATATTTAAAATTATGATACACAAAAATGTATGTCGTCTTTCTTTATGACAGAGGCTATAATGATACGCAATGCGTATCCTAAACGCACGCCCTAAGGTTCCGACACGCAAATGCATGTCATCGTCCTTTATGACAGGTCCTTCCTTGACACGCAATGCGTGTCGTAAACGCACGTCGTAAATGCGCGTAGTAAGTTTACGACACGCAAAAGCGTGTCGTCTTCCTTTATAACAGGGCCTTCCTTGACACGCATTTGCGTGTCATATTGTAGCACCTGGTTCCTGGTATGTATTTTATTTAAGTATTGTGCATTTTTGGCCTAAGACTCGGCGAGTTGAAGGCCCAACTCGATGAGTAGAAGCGGATTGGATACGCGATTTAAATGACGGACTCGTCGAGTCGGCCTCCAGACTCGACGAGTAGACTCTGACTGGACAAAACCCTAATCTAAGGGTTTGCACCCTATTTAAGCATCTCATTCAGCCACCCTTCGTCCCTATTGCTTCCAGAAACCCCCCATAGCAAACCCTAACTCTGTGTGTGAAGATCTAAAGGCATTTGTGGTGATTTTGATCACAAGGAAGAAGGAAGGACCTAGAGGGATCAAGAGAAGACCAAGGGAGTTCAAGTTTGTGCATCATTTGCAGTTCCCAAAAGGTATAAATTCGGTACCTTGCTTGTTCATTTGCTAGATCCCTTTTTGGGGAGATTTAGGGCTTTTATAAGCCATTCTTGGTGACCAACCATGATTGCAAGCATGGTTGGGGGTTGAGGCTTTAGATCTAGGTCCATGAAGGAGTTACAAGGCAGAAAAGGGCTGCTTTTGCACCCATGGAAGCCCCCATGTAACTTAAGAGTCTCTTTTAGAGCCTTTTAGGCTCAAAGTCCCATGCATGCACGTAAAGTTCGTAACTTTACGTGCTAGATCGAGTTTAGGGACCTAGATCTATCATTTGGACAAGAGTTGTACGCCAGAAATCGAAGAAATAGACTTGGACAGTATCGAATCGGCGAGTCGTTCTTGGGACTCGGCGAGTTGTTCTTGGCACTCGGCGAGTCCGATGTTAGACTCCCCTTTTCTGTTATGGGTCAAAGAGACCCAATGGAGTGCTGGAAAGGTTTTAGAGGGTCCAAGGGAGTGACCCAACGTATTGGGCTAAGCCATAGTCCTGGAGTTTATAGGACTCGGCGAGTGCATGACCAGACTCGGCGAGTCCAAGGCAATCTCCCAACTCTTGAAGATGAACTCGACGAGTTGTTCATACAACTCGGCGAGTCGATGACATGACTGGTTCTTAGGATGAGGATGAACTCGACGAGTTGTTCATACAACTCGACGAGTCGGATGAAGGTTCATTCGATTCTCGTATTGAAGGAGAACTCGTCAAGTCATTTCTAAACTCGACGAGTAGAGACGTGGATGAGGACAGTTAAAAGGTTAGGGACTCGACGAGTTGGCGGTCCAACTCGGCGAGTCAGGTCAAATGGAAGTTGACTTTGACTTTGACTTTGACTTTGACTTGGACTTGGTCAGGGGTAAAATAGTCATTTTACCCTAAGAGTAGATATCAGATTCTGACTGAGTGTTTTGTGGGGATTATAGCCGGAGGATTTCCGGAGAAGCAGCAGACAGAGATTTCCCGCACAGATTTTCAGCAGCTACTCGTACGAGGTGAGTTACCTTCCAGTAGCGGTGGGTCTACGGCCACAATGCCGGCCCACCAGTAGGAGTTGTATGTTAGATGATCGTCTTTGTGATATCATCTAGGTTTGCTACTACCTGATATGTTGTATGCTGGCATGATATGTTATATGTGATAGTAGTAGAGTTCGGTTGTTAGGACTGAAGGGTAGGTCAGGCACCCCAGATATGTCTGACAGTATGTGATGATATGTTTATATGCTGGCATGATATGTTATATGTGATAGTGGTAGTAGGAGGGGAATAGTCCCCAAGTTCGGTTGTTAGCACCGAAGGGTAGTTCGGACACCCCAGATATGTCTGATAGTATGTTTATGTTATGATATATGTGATAGTAGCAGTAGGGGGTGGAATAGTCCCCGATGGTCGGTTGTTAGGACCGACGGGTAGGTCAGCACCCCAGAATGGCTTGACACGGGTAGGTCGGTACCCCAGAATGGCCGTACCGGGTAGGTCGGGCACCCCAGAATTTCCCGACAGTATGTATGCTATATGATTGTATGGTATGTGGTACGCTTGGGGGAACTCACTAAGCTTCGTGTTTACAGTATTTAGTTTTGTTTCAGGTACCTCTTCAACGATGGGGAAGGAGCCGGCGCGGTAGCTGCACATCATACACACATTGGATTCCACATTATGAGATTTCTTGGATTGTACTCTCACATTGTTACTACTTTTATGATATGATTTTCAGACATGAGATTATGGTTTTTACGAAATGATATGACTTCATGATATTTTCTTATGAATGTTTTCTAAGTCGTTATATCAAAATCAAAATTTTTGGACTCGAAAAATGGGATGTTACAAGTTGGTATCAGAGCCCTGGTTTGAGGGATTCGGACACACCCTCGGGAGTGTCTGGACTCAAACTGAGGGATTAAAAGATTTTTACAAAGAAAATGGTTCTAAAATCCAAGTTAAAGAGTTTTGAGAAAGAACAAGGTGTGATGTGCGCGACCGACCGAGCTCAAGTAAGTTTTCACCAAATTACCCATACAAGTTTATGTTATGATTATTAGTTTTAGTAGAACAGCATGCTAGATTAGGGCTAAGGATCTAGGAGGATGCCTTATGTGCCTGCTATATGTGTTCCAGCTTTATGAGAACTGCATGCTAGTACAGATTAGTCAGGAGGATAGCCTGAGTAGTATATGCTTGCTTATGTGCACTCGATGTCCGAATGCTGCTTGCTTTGTGCTTTGAGGAGTTCTAGTTGTCTTTCACTAGCTAGTAAACAAATATGTTAAGTTACATATTGCAAGGACTAAATAATTTCAGAAGGTTAGGTCTAGCTCTATTTCGCAGCTCTTGTCTGAGTCCAACCGTTGTAGGGTAGGATCTCTCATTCGAAGAATTATCTAGTCTGAGTGATATGTAATAGTATTTACGAGCTAGTTAGGGGAAGAAAGCAGGGACTTCTTATGCAGCTGATGGCGGAGAGTGGGTTGGTGATTACCCTAGGGCAAGCCTAGGAAGAGAGTAGCAGAGATCAGTAGCAGTAGAAGGGACTTGGTGGAGTCAAGGCAGTTCTTGAGGAAAGTATGGATAGATGTGGAAGGTAGTATGGGCCCGTACTACTAAAAAGCAGAGGATCCGTACTTGAATCGAGAAAGTCGAGGCAAGACCAGAGAACTTGTGATAGATGTGATCCCTCTAGATGTATCAGTATCACTGACGGTTGTCATTATGTATTGCAGAATGGTGGTACTACGTCCGAGGCCAGCAGTTGGCAGCTCAGGAGAGGGATCGGGTTCGGGTTCAGGTTCCGAACCGGTGGATGAGAGGCTACGCGAGTTCATCG